GTACGTTTGTGTATATTTTCTCTTTCTGTGTGCGTCTCTGTGTGTCAGTGTGGAGAAAGAGAGAGAGAGGTGACACAGGGTGGGTTGGAGCACACCGTGTGGAAGGAAAGAGGGGCGCCTCGAGCGACGCACCAGGTTGCTAGGTGGCCGGGCACGAACGTACCGGACCTCCTGCACTTACCGACCGGCGTTGTCGACGACGTAGTTTGCCCCGGTAACGACGTGCCACCGGTTCCCTTCCGGAACAAACCCTCTGTGGTAACGGTGCCCGTTTAGAGAGAGAATGGTCAGGGAATTTTGGCAGTAATGGGCCAAGGTGTTTCCATTATTCTTCGGACCTTCTACCGACGTCTTTCTGTTACTCTCTCTCTCTTCGCGTGTCTCTTCCTTCTGCCCCTCTGTTTTTTCTTCCTTCCTTTCTTTTTCTATTTTGCTTGTTTCTTCTTCTTCTTCTGGTGCTTTGTTCGAGGGTTTTCTCTCCTTTGTTGTTCCTCTTCCGAGGGGGGGTTCGTTGTTTTGACTGGTGCTGTTTGAGGGTTCTCGAGCACAGGTTGCTTCTTTTCTCTCGCGTGTTGATTGAGTGGGCGAGAGGGTAGAGAAGTGACACGATGAATTTTCATTCGAGTTTATTAAGAATTACAGGGTGTCTCGGTGAAACGGTTGGAGATAGTAGAGAATTTCACATGTATTCCATATTTCTGTTATTTTTATGCATTGATCTGGTTGCCTGTAGCTGCACACTTTAGACGACCGAGAACGGAATAATTGCATTTTTATAAAATCATCGGTATTGTTTTTTAAATCGAAATTCACCGATATCTCTCTTCTCCGAAATTCGGCGATGTTTAAAAAAAAAGAACATCTCACTGAAATTACTCGGTAAATAGCGGAATATCGCGGGTGAAATATTCGAAAGTAACGCGTTTGGTAAAGGTGCGCGTAGGTTACGCAAAAGAGCAGAAAGAGAGGGAGAGAGAGGGTTGGCGATATTTTAACCGCGCTGGTCGTAGAAATCACGTTTTAATTTGCCACATTCGATCGATGACCGTGCAGATTTCCCCTGTCAATGGGATATCATTTAACGGGCCGGGTATTTTCACCGGTGGAAATTATAATAATTATACCGGGTTTGTGCAACGGCGGTGCTCGCGAGGAGAATTACGCGATGACCCCGTTATTAACGCAATTTGCATTTCGTTGCAATTACTCCGTTGTGTCTCTGCCCGGTGGTATAATGCCCCGACCGGGTTATTTCCATAAAATCTGCTTTGTCCAGGGAAAACATCAGGTTGTCTTAATTAATTGATTATTTACCGCAATTATAATCCTGACAAAGAAAGTTTACGATGTTGGTGCACGCTCGGGAACAGGTGGCGCGGGAGCGAGCGCGACAGACTGTTTTATATTCACGACGAACCGACCGGGATGTTTTGCATTTACGACCGTGTGGAAATTCTGTCGATGAGGCGAACCAGCTCTCGACTTTTCAACGTTTCTCGACATTACGAGCGTCGTTTTTTTGGCCTTTTCCTCAAGGGGAATATTTATAGCGGAAAATTTCGACGAATACGCTGGAAGTATATAGCTTCGCTCGATTTCTCGAATTTCGCGCAAGTTTTGTTACGTTCGTTGTGAATCATCTTTGTCATATTCCTGCAATAGGTGCATCGTTGAATTTCATTCTTTTTTAAATTTTATTTTATCTCTGCCGGGAAAATTATGTCACAGGAATATTTCCACGTGAACAGCGATATTTGGAATTCTCTTTTTATCTATTTTCATACATAATTTGAAAAGCTTCATTTTTTATATCTTCTTCCAGTTAAAAATTAATCTCCGAAATATTTCG